TTACTGGTAGTAAAAAAAATATATTTTAGTATCTACAAATTTTTCATACAGTTGAACCTCGATTTACGCAGTTCTCGTTTACGTGTTTGGTCATTTACGCGGTACCTTGCCAGAACCAGGATGCCCGATTTACGCGGTGAATTTACTCATTTACGCGGGTGAAGTATAATTTGTTTATTTACAGAAGATATTTGTTTTAGCTCATAAAATTCATACAAATTACCCAGTCAGAATTTAATTTACATTGCTGGAATTCTTATAAGATTGTGATTATTTTAAATATAAACATCATGGAATTTGCATAAGATAATACAAATTATAGATCTAATGTAAGAATTTTGATTACAAAGAGCCAAAATTTTATCTTTTGTGCAAAATATATGACGTTTATATTCAAAATATTCCCTGACCGGCAAGGAATCCAGAAATGTCAATTATATTATCCTAACTTTAGTCTGACGTATTATTTATTACTAAAAATGTAAATATACTGTTTTAACCCAAACATTTCTCTGGTAAGGAGGGAGGGGGGTGGGGGGTGTGGGGGGGGAGGGGGCAGGGAGCGGAAGAGGGGAAGCGGAGGTGAGGTATTTTGATTGATAGATAGTGTCTGGGTGAAGTATAATTTGTTTATTTACTGAAGATATTTGTCATAGCTTATTCATACTACCCAGCCAAAATATAATTTACATTGCTGGAATTCTTATAAATTGTGATTATTTTAAATATAAACATCATTGCTAGAATTTTTAATATTTGGTTTACACAAAGTAAAATTTTATCTTTTGTGCAAAATATATGAAGTTTACATTCAAAATATTCCCTCAACCGGCAAGGAATCCAAAATGTCAATGTATATTATCCTAACTTTAGTTTGAGGTATTATTTATTACTATACCTTAAAATCTAGTGTTTTCACCCAAACATTTCTCAGAGAGGGAGGAGCCAGCGAGCATGGGAAGATGAGGGGGGGGGTGGGAGTTGAGTCCATTATTTGAATCTTAACCTGGCGACTGTATTTCTTTTTATTTTGTGTGTGCATACCATCATAAAATTAAGATGTTATTTTTACTACAACGTAGGTATTGGTCGGCATTGTGTTGGAAAAAGTGGAGTTTCGGAGTCAGCCAGTCTCTATTTCAATTAATCCCATATGTTCTGTTATTCCATTTATGCGTTTCTCATTTTACGTACTACTCCGCGGGTTCAATTGACCGCGTAAATGAGGGGACCACTGTAATTCGAATCTTCATAAATTAGGGTCTGCCCATACACACATTTTCCCTACAGTCATAGTATTAACAGAAATAAATACAGTAGTACCCCAATTTACGCGGTCAATTGAACCCACAGGGTACCGCGGAAAGTGAAAACTGAAAACAGCGTAAAGTGAACAACAGAACATATGGGATTAATTCCAATAGAGACTGGCCCGACCCCCAAACTCCACTTTTTCCGACACAATACCTATGTTGTAGTAAAAATAACATCTAAATTTTATGATGGTATGCTCACACAATTAATATTTAAGAGAAATACAGTCGCCAGGTTAATGTCCATTCAAATAATGGACTCAAATCCCCCCCCCCCTCTTCCCAGTTCACTAGCTCCTACCTCTCTGAGAAATGTTTGGGTGAAAACACTAGATTTTAATGTTAGTAATAAATAATACCTCAGACTAAAGTTAGGATAATATAATTGACATTTCTGGATTCCTTGCAGGTCAGGGAATATTTTGAATGTAAACTTCATATATTTTGCACAAAAGATAAAATATTTGCTTTGTGTAAACCAAATTATTACATTAGATCTAAAATTTGTATGTCAAATGCCAAATCCATGATGTTTATATTCAAAATGATCATCATATTGTAAGAAATCCAGCAATGTAAATTATATTCTGGCCGGGTAATTTGTATAAATTTTATGAGCTAAAACAAATATCTTCAGTAAATAAAAAAAAAATATTCTTCACGGCCACTATCCGTCAATCAAAATACCCCACCTCCGCCCTAGCAGGGTCGGTCCCTCCCTCCCTCCCTACCAGAGAAATGTTTGGGAGAAAACAGTATATTTACATTTTTAGTAATAAATAATACCTCAGACTAAAGTTAGGAAAATATAATTGACATTTCTGGATTCCTTGCAGGTCCGGGAATATTTTGAATGTAAACTTCATATGTTTTGCACAAAAGATAAAATATTTGCTTTGTGTAAACCAAATTATTACATTAGATCTAAAATTTGTTTGTCTAATGCAAAATCCATGATGTTTATATTCAAAATGATCATCATATTGTAAGAATTCCAGCAATGTAAATTATATTCTGGCCGGGTAATTTGTATGAATTTTATGAGCTTAATAAAAAAAATTATACTTCACCCGCGTATATGAGTAGATGCACCGTGTATAATGAAATTCCGGTTCTGGCTAGGTACCGCGTAAATGTAGAATCGCGTAAAGCGAAACCGTGTAAATCGGGGTATTACTGTACAGTAAAACCTCAATAAATCGGACTTCAATATATCAGAATTTGGTTTTTCTGACTCTTAGGTGCTGTGGTCACCAGATATACTAAAAATAAAAACATAAATAAAGAAAATGTTTTAAGAAAGGGAACATTAATAAAAAAAATCTTACAAAATGAACAATACTGAATTCTGTCCAGTGGTCTAATCAGATTTGCTATAGGCCTACTAACAACTAAGACACTAGAGTATGTAAGCAGGCTGGGGCTGATCTGGTGTTGCCGCATTCGTCAGGTTTATTTATTTACCGATTCAGCATTATATTCTCATATGATTGGCCTCTTATGGTTTATTGTTCATCATGATTAATATAACATATTCAGTAATAGAGAAAAAATACAATACTGTATGTAATTTGTAATATGACTTCAAAATAAAAGGATAGGCTGTATCAGAAGCTTATTTACTCAAGATGAGTTCGTGTGAGAGCTTTCAGCAGACCAGCTTACAACAGGGGTCACTACAACACTGTATAGTATTAAAATGAAGGTACCTGCCTATATATGTTATTTACTACCTTTGAGTGTTATATGATGGCTCAATTTGGTTACTTGTACACTTAGACAAATGACTAATGAATAAACCAGGGTACCTATATATGCAACAAATGATTAATGAATAAACCAGGGTATAAGCACACACACACAATATTGTACACTACAATATTACTTATTAAGTGATGATAAGTACACTACAATAGTATTTATCAAGTGGTGATAAATACACTGCAATAGTATTCATTAAGTGATGATAAATACACGACTGTACAGTACTAATTTACTAAATGTTGAAGACAGACATTGTGGTAAGCTCCTCGGCGTCACCATAGACACCAAACTAAATTGGAAACCACACGTCAGTGAAGTTGTCAAATCCTCCAGTTTCCGTCTCCACCTCCTCCGCCGACTCAAGTCCCTCGGAGTTCCTGCACCCGAGCTCCTCAGTGTTTACAGAACATTCATACTTCCCAAGCTCACCTATGCCTCCCCCAACTGGTCTTCCTCCCTAAATGCCACACAACGTAAACACCTAGAAAAAGTGCAAATGAGGGCATGCAAGATTATTCTCTCCCCTTCCTACTCCACATATCAATAAGTGCTCAACACACTGACCCTTTCGACTCTCACTGACCATCACCACGACCTCATCTGCAAATTTGGTAAGAAGCTTCTACACCAGCCTCGACACCGGCTCCTACTACCACCTGAGATCCCTAGCCCGAGAATTGCTGTTCGACACCACAACCGCATCCAGCCCATACGTGCACGAACTGACTGCTATAAGAACAGCCCAGTCCCAACTATTGTAAAAATTATCAATAACTTGTAATAAACCAGTGTATTCACTCCCAGTAAATACTACTTCTTGCACTGTCAGTATGTTGAAATGCACTGTAGTTTGAGCTTTTCCCCATCTAGTTATTATATATCTTATTTGTATCACTTATGTTACTTGTATATTATTTGTAATTCGAAACCCATTCCCCAAATATGTAACTGTATATTTTCAGCCTTCTGGCTGCCAAGCTCTTTCAATAAACCGTTAATTATTATTATTATTATTATTATTATTATTATTATTATCAGTTGTTTGCCCTTGGTAAACAAATGACTCGTGGTGGTCAGTGTGGGATTCTTTTTTCAGGAAAGCCAATTCTTTTAGGATAATATTTTATCAACCTGGTACCAAATGAATCTAAATTACATGAGAATTATGGTGAAACTGCATAAAGAAGTGTTAAAGGAATCTTGGGGAAGAGAGGGGGAAGTACCCAGAGAGGGGGAAGTACCCACCTGTGCTACCCCATCCTCCTCTTTGCCAGCTGCTCCCAGATAAACACTCATCTTCCACATACAATATACTCCTACTTTTATTTGTTTTTATTTTTTCATAGTACTGTACTGTACAGTACAGTATACAGTTTTTCTTTATTAATAAGAAAAATTCTGTGGTTGCTTACATATAGCACTTTACATTAAATAAAAATCATCTGGTGAAAACAGTTGTTGACAACCAGACTTATTTGTCTGATTTTCAACCCAGAGAGTTCTGTTTAATATTTTATTTTATTGTTGATGTAATATTCTTTTAATAACCTTGTTATACACTTAAAGACCTTAGTTGTTGAAGTGCAGTAATAACATGACAACAACAACTGATTTTCTTTAAACAGTTCAGATAAGCAGTGTTATCTCCACCCCCCCCCTCATATGTTCACTTTTTTTTAACTTTTGCATTTTTCAGACTGGGGTCTGCCCCAATTAGTCCAATTTATCGAGGTTCAACTAAACCAGAAAAATGTCAAACCAAGTAGTATAAGATATCATAACCAGCAAACCCTTCACCACCCACAGGTCACATGACATCTGCATACCCCTCACCACTCACACTGGCCCCATGACCTCCACATACCCCTATTCATACAAAATTCATATTTGGTATTCAATAAGAAAGAAGAAATATAACTTTACCAAGAGGTTCTCTGGTTTTATATCTCTATGTACTATTGATCTCTGGTGGAGATAATCCAAAGCTGAGGTCAGATCCCTGACCATCGAACTGGCATCTTGTTCTGTATAGCGAGTTGCACTGGCAATGGCATCAAAGAGGTCACCACCCTGCAGAAAAAATAAAAATTTATTAGTTTCAGAGACATACTGCATTCGGGTCAAATGTCAAGAAGAAGAGGAGTAATAATAGAATAGCTGTTGAGCAGTAGATATCCCTTACCAGTTTGTGTTTGTCAACATTGTGAAAGATACCAAAAAATACTAGCTGTGCATAATCCCCCTTCTCAACAAATGTCATGAAAAATCTTTTTCCTCTTACACAAAATCCTTGTCCACAGAAATTTCAAATGGAGAAACAGGTGAACATACTGAAGGTGAAGAATTATCTACATTTTCCAATATATAGCGATTAATCTACAGGTATTTATTTAGCGAGGGAAATCGGGCAGGAAATATTTCAAATTTACTGCCATGGCAAACAAATGCGTTATTTGCTCACCAGAGGCACCACCGTGGCTACACATTCACGCTCGCCTGCACAGTCTTTCTGATTCAGCTCTTGCCACGTGCGGTTGCTGCACTCTCCAGTCAAGGTCACCACGTGCTCTACCACTGTCTACCAAGATGCCGAAGCATACTAGTACCACTCCTCCTAGTTCAAGTGAGAAAAAGAAGAGGAAACCCTTCAACATTGGTGAAAAGGTGAAGATTCTGAACGAGTTTGAACATGGAGCAAGTGCCTCTGTTGTCGCACGCTGCTACGGAGTTAATGAAAGTACTATTCGTGGCATCAGACGGAAGGCAGACAAGATTCATGTAGCATTTGCTGACCCAACAGTTTCCAAGACCACCCAACACTTACGGCCACTACTATACCAAGAAATGGAAGACGCACTCAAGATATGGATTGAAAACATGCAAAGCCGTAAAGTTGCTTTATTGAGTCCAATGATAAAGAATGGAGCATTAGAAATACAGACACGTCTGCTTCAGCGAGAAGGAAAGCCAGCAAGTGAATGTAAATTAACAGCTAGCCAAGGCTGGCTTCACAGCTTCATCAAGAGAGTTGAATTACGCTGTGTGTCTCTGTCACGGTAAGCTGCATTGTCCGACACAGCTGCAGCGGAAAAAGTGAAGACATTGGAAAAAAGTGGTTGAGGAAGGTGGCTATACTCCAGACCAAATCTGGAATTGTGATGAGACAGGACTAATTTGGAAAAAGATGCCAAAGAAGACATATTTAATGAAAGCAGAAGCCAAAGCTCCAGGACTTAAGGTCAGTAAGGACAGAGTAACAGTGCTTCTCTGTGCTAATGCCGCAGGAACTCGGTGCATGAAATCTCTCGTCATTCACTCTGCTGCCAGACCTCGTACTTTTAAAAATGTGCTCCTACCTCACCTCCCAGTCATGTGGAAATCTAACAAGAAAGCCTGGATGATTGGAGATGTATTCGAAGATTGGTTTCTTAATTATGTCATCCCGTACATCGAGAAAATCAGTGACAAGGTACTGATCGTAGTGGATAATGCCACCAGTCACCCATCCATCTCAACAACTTGAAACAAAAATATTCAGCTGTTCTTCTTGCCCTCGAATGTCACCTCTCATATTCAGCCTATGGATCAGGGAGCCATTGCCTTATTCAAACAAACGTATTTGAAGACGACAATGAAGCAAATGGCAGATGCAATGAGTTCTGACCAAGAGCTGACTGTCCAGCAATTCTGGAAAAATTTCACAATCAAGGATACCGTCACAAACATTGCTTTGAGCTGGAACTCCCACTCTGAACAAGCCCTAAATGGTGTTTGGTGTCCTCTGTGGCCTGATGTTGTCCAAACCTTCAAAGGAATTACCAAGGACGAAGATCTGAGAGAAATAGTACTGATTAGCAAGAAAATAAAAGAAGATCCAGGGTTCCAAGTCGTCACTGAAGAAGATTTGGACGAACTGGTAGAGAGCATGGACGACCCAATAACGACTTAAGAAACCCTAGAGTTAGCCGAGATGACTAAGAAACACAAGGAAGAGGAGGAAGCCGAGGATGAGCCCCACACGTAAAGAAAGAGTGGAAAACCATGCAACTTTGAGAATACATGTCCTTCATATCTGCTGCCATCATTAGAGACAACGATCCTAATGTGGAGAGGGCTACGGTGCATGTAGACAGCTTGTACAGGCTCTCTTCTACCTATAGTCATTGCTGGAAAGGAAGATAGCCAACCAGAAGCAGAGGTCCATCACTTCGTACTTCTGGCCCCTTTCTCACTCTTCAGGTAAGTTTATGTTTGTGTTTTTTTTTATTGAAAAAGTTAAAAAAACAAAAATGAGTTGTAAAGGTCTGTCCAGTGGTGGTGAATGGTAACGAAACTCAGTGCACATGCACTCCACCCTCGCAGTTGGCGGCATGGAGTCTCGGCTGAGTGCAATATGCCAAAGATAAAAATTCAGTTTTAATGATTCCTGTGCAATTATTCTTTACAGGTGAAGTGAAGACTGGACCATCTGGTGAGGAAGCAGGACCAGCACTGTCAGAAGTGCAAGCAGGACCGTCAGGGGTGCAGGCAAGTGCTACACATACCGACTCCAGCGATGAAGAGGCAGGCGATGGTGTTGGTGAGTTATCACATTTACACTCATTTAGGCATGTTTATTTCACATTTCCATGCAAAAAAACCATGACATACTGTATGTATGAAAACATGCACTAAAACACAAAATGTTTCACCTATTGTTCTGTGATCAGGCACGCAGTTGTCGTGTGACGCGGGGGAGGCTGGCTGTGAGTCGAGCGGCAAGAGTGACGAGTCAAGAGCTCACTCTGCTACAAATTCCGACTTCTAAGGTGAGTGTAAATGGGTTGCTTGTGACGTGAAAAGTGATGTGAAGAGAATGGAAAGCTTAATGGAAAAGATTTAATACTGTAACTTATATTTTTGGTTTGTTCGTTTATGTAGGTGTGGGATTGTCAAGTGAGGGTGGCAATGTGGCATCTGGTGTTCCCGGGATGGTGTTCCCTAGTCTAGTGCTCATTGGTGCTTTAGTTAGTGAGAAAATAAACTCGTTCAGTCAAGTTGAGTCACTTTAATTGGCCTCCAGAAACTAACCCTATTTTCCCCATTGATTATGTTACCGCAAGCAGCAATGAGTCGGCTGACACATAAACAAATATTATGTTAGGCGGTAAGTCATATCATGTTTATTGGGCGTGCCTGCCTGTATACAGAATATAAAGTATTGACATGGTGGAGATAAGAGGCCCAGAGGAGGTTGGAGTGTGTAAGTGGAGTTTTGTTTATGTATAATTATAATCACCTGATTCAGCCCTCGTCGACCAGCCAGGGTAGGCCAGGCGATCGGGCTGGTATTACAGTATAGCTACCCATATCCTAGAAGCAACACCTAACCTGGTTTCTCTCTAGACTTTTAACATGTAAGTTTAACTAGTACTTATTGTGTACACAGGTAGACTGTGTTCATTGCATCATTTATCATTGTGACAATATAGGAATATGGAAAATTAAGTACTCATTGTAAGTGTTAAGATTAGACTAATTACATAGCTATGATTGTTATGTAAATATATATTGGATTAAACATTTATGTAGGAGTGCCTATGTATGATTTATTGGAAATACTAAAATGAGTTGTATTCAACAGGTTTGACTGAATTATAATGTTCGAGTTTAACATCACAAGTCTCAATCATCCTTTAACAGCCCGGATGGCGCTTACAGATTACATGTAATTATATATCGCGATTTAGTATATGGCGAACACCCTTGGACCCTATCTCGTGATAAATCCCGACTTTTTTTCTTCTTTTTTTTCGGGGACCAGTCCACCAGGCACAGGTCACCGACCCACTTCGGGGCCTGGGAGGTGAAAATGTAGTCGTAGTAGTAGTAATAATAATAATAATAATAATAATAATAATAATAATAATAATAATAATAATAATAATAATAATAATAATAATAATAATAATACAGTTGTACCCCACTTAACGCGGTCAATTGAACCCAGAGGGTCCCGCGTTAAGTGAAATCCGCGTTAAGTGAACAACAGAACATATGGGATTAATTCCAATAGAAACCGGCCCGACCCCCAAACTCCACTTTTTGAAGGCACATACCTATGTTGTAGTAAAAATAACATCTTAATTTTATGATGGTACATGCACACAATTAATACTTAAGAGAAATAGAGAAATACAGTCGCCAAGTTAATGTCCATTCAAATAATGGACTCAACTCCCTCCCCCTCTCACACTACACAGCCGGCTAACAGATGGTCGGTCGGTCCCTCCCTCCCCCCCCCACCCCCCACCAACCGTCCCAAGGAGATGTGTGGGATAACCTCAAACTAAAGTTAGGAAAATATAATTGACATTGCTGGATTCCTTGTAAGACCAGGAATATTTTGAATATAAATGTCATATATTTTGCACAAAAGATAACATAGTTACCTAGAGAAAAATTTTTATCTAAAAATTGTAAGTTTAAAGCAAAATATATGATGTTTATATTCAAAATGATCACCAAATTATAAGAATTCCAGCAATGTAAATTATATTCTGACCGGGTAATTTGTATGAATTTTATGAGCTAAAACAAATATCTTCAGTTAATAAAAAAAAAATAATCTTCACGACACTATCTGTCAATCAAAGTACCCCACCTTGCCTCCCCCCCTCTGCGGTCAGTCCCAACCCTCCCCCCCACCCCCCACCAATCCTCCCTTCCAGAGTTTTTAACATTTAGTATTAAATAATACCTCAGATTAAAGTTAGGATAATATAATTGACATTGCTGGATTCCTTGTAAGACCAGGAATATTTTGAATATAAATGTCATATATTTTGGACAAAAGATACCATAGTTACCTAGAGAAAAAATTTTATCTAAAAATTGTAAGTTTAAAGCAAAATATATGATGTTTATATTCAAAATGATCACCAAATTATAAGAATTCCAGCAATGTAAATTATATTCTGACCGGGTAATTTGTATGAATTTTATGAGCTAAAACAAATATCTTCAGTTAATAAAAAAAAATAATAATTCTTCACACGGTAACAGATGGTCGGTTGGTCCCTCCCTCCCCC